GAACCGAATCCACCAACAAAAGCATTGAAGGCGGGAAAAATATAGTTTCATGTTTATATTGACTTCGCTTTGAGTTGACGTTTGCACCTATAGGCATTAAATGAATAACCCTAATCTCGACTTAAAGTATCAAATTTATCTTAAAAGCTCCTTAAAGCTTCAACGTTCTTATATTAAAAGTACCTTGAAGCATCATTACAATAGAAAGAAGTGTCACGTTACCATGGTAGCAAAATTTCTGGATGACAACAATAGGGAGTTTTTGCAACGGCTACGGCAAACAGCAAAAAAAGAATAGGTTTAGATTCAGGGGACGTAAAAGAATCCATGAAATTGTTCGAAAAGAGAAGGGGACGTAGGCCCTGATGTCATGGTCTATCTGACTTGTGCCGTCATCGGTCTGGATGGGCGAGGTGTCATCAAAACATGGACTGAAGTGGCTGTAAGAGTGCGCCTTTAAAATGCTGACGTCCGATCTAACCTCTCTGTTTCCTCCGCAACGGCAGCCATTGACTGCAAGTGAGGAAAGTTGGCAACGTTTACTTATTTATTTTTATTGTAATAAAATTTGAAAAAAAGTTTGGAGTCGCGCCTAAGGAAGATCCTGAACGTCCGCTCGATCCTCGAGACAAACATTTTTAGTTAAATCCAACTTGTGGTCTATTATCAATGCTGCGTTCTGATTGGTTAAGCTACTACTAGGCTATATGTTATAGCCCACTCAGTAGTAGCGAAAAGCGCCGGCTCTTAGGAAACAAAAAGGGGTTAAGTCTAAATTTAACTAGCTGAAGATGTTTTGTCTCGATATTTTTGACCAACTGTTTGGTTTTAACTAAAACAGTTATTCCTCTCGCCCTCATGGCCTCTGAGGCAATAGCCCATTTGGTACGTCTGTCGGCCTCATAGGCTATTGACTCAGAGCCCATTTGGGCGCGTGGAAAAATTGTTAAATACCGGTATATTGTAGCTAATGACGTCATCTATTTTTTTAGGTTTGTTTTTGTGAAAGAGGATGTTTTGTTAAGACAGGGGCTTTTACACACGTACGCACCTAAAATAGGCACGTCTGTACCTAAAATAATTTCGAAAGGTCAAAAAAAAAAAAAAAAAAAGAAAAAAAAAAAAAAACATAAGAGAAACTAGTGACGTAAGTGATGGAAGGAGACCATTGGTAAAATATTAATTTTGTTAAATGTCCAAGCCACATTATCGGCGGGCTGAATGTTGACGCTGGTGTAGGCAAAATGAAGCGGGATATTAATCAATCAAACAGCGCCTGGGAATTAATTTAATACCCTTGAAAGCAGAGGAGGGGCTTTCAACTTCCGACTTCCGACTTGCAACTTGCAACTTCCAACCAACTTCCAACTTTGTCCTCGAATTGTTTGTCCTTATGTTCCCTTCTCAAGGCTTTGTAAAGTTATGATCACTTATCGGCCCAGGGGTCCGTTTCTGAAATATCAACGGGCCGGTAAAGCTCTTGTTGTTTACATGCAAGATAGAGGTTTCAATAGTTTTGCATCAAACATGTAACAATCAATTTCACTGTCAATTAGTGAAACAAAATGGAGTTGTTTGCTAGCCAGGACCCGTGCCCTTATTCTTCGGGATATTAATCAATCAAACAGCGCCTGGGAATTAATTTAATACCCTTGAAAGCAGAGGAGGGGCTTTCAACTTCCGACTTCCGACTTGCAACTTGCAACTTCCAACCAACTTCCAACTTTGTCCTCGAATTGTTTGTCCTTATGTTCCCTTCTCAAGGCTTTGTAAAGTTATGATCACTTATCGGCCCAGGGGTCCGTTTCTGAAATATCAACGGGCCGGTAAAGCTCTTGTTGTTTACATGCAAGATAGAGGTTTCAATAGTTTTGCATCAAACATGTAACAATCAATTTCACTATCATTTTAGTGAAACAAAATGGAGTTGTTTGCTAGCCAGGACCCGTGCCCTTATTCTTTATACTTCGATTTGAATATTTGATTTCGGGCCCGAAAAGTTACCGGGACTTTCGACAAACGGGCCCCAGGTTTTCTTTAATTTGCCAACGGATAGCGCCAGCATAAATGACACTAGCATATGAAAATCATTGAATGAGGCTAAGGTACGAATTTTTGGACTTTGTTATGTTGGCAAAATCAAGTCCAAAAACATTACTTTGTTGCCCATCCTATGTTCTGCTTGGAGGTGCTTTTTTTTCTCAAGTGTCTCAGTTTTCTTAACCCTTTAATTTCTAATATTGGATTAAGTATTATATATAATTCATCATTAACTTCAAATTTCTCTTTGAAATTCCTCAGAAATAAAGTTTGTTTACCATTTACAAAAAGTTTCCGGAAAATCAGTTGGAAAGTAAATGAAGTACCAACTAAATGAATAAGTTTTATAATGTAGTGAACAGAAATGCGCGTCTTGCCCTTTTGAATCTTAGTTCGGCTTAAATGAAGATCGGCTTCTGAATGAGTCGTCCTATATTCAATTCGATTCGGCTCATGTGAAAGTATGGCGTCTCAACCGGGCCTTAGAGAGACAGCCTTGGGTAGCGGCGTCCAGGCATATTGCTAAGGGAAAAGCCTCTCACAAAACAAAAACAAAAATAATAATAATAAAAATAATAAAATGCCAATTCCAATTCCGTTT